CACACACACACACACACACACACACAGGCAGATTTTCCTATCTAGAGGCTTATTACTGGGTAAACTGAATTATCCAGAAGGTCTTAGGAACATGAGACATGATATCTTTACATGCCCAGTACTTAGTATAAAATCAGAAGTGTAAACAAAGTACTGAAATGCATATTCTTTATTATAGTTGTAGCTCTTGGGTTCTTAATTAAAATTATTTGTACTATTAATTCTAAGTCATTTAATTCTAACAAATTTACTGGTCTCATTTCATGGTCCTCAGAAAGTACATGACAGGAAAGTGAATAGATAGCAAGAGTGTAATCAGAGAGGAAACACTTTGGAAATAAAAAGCTGTCAGTATGACAAAGGTGGAAACAGAATGAACACTATAAACTGTAGTCATCAAAACATTAAAAATTATGGTAATTAAGGAACATTTGCTCAGGTACAGCAAGGATTGTGAGGCTGGCACAGGACTGGGTAGTGTTTCATTCTGTTGTATACAGGGTCGCTACAAGTTGGAGAGGAGCTCTGATAGCGTAGTGCCTAAGGCACTTGACTGCTAACCAGAGGGCTGGCAGTTCAAACCCATCAGCCACTCCTCGAAAGGAAGATGGGGCAATCTACTTCCATAGTGATACTGCCTCGGCAACCCAAGGAGGGGTCACTATGAGTCGGGTCCGTCTCGACAGCATATAACAACAACAACAATATATATATATATATATATAGGAGCTCTGCCTAAGGCATTTGACTGCTAACCAGAAGGCTAGTGGTTCAAACCCAACAGCCACTCCTCAGAAGGAGGGGCAATCTACTTCCATAGTGATACTGCCTCGGAAACCCAAGGAGGGGTCACTATGAGTCGGGTCCGACTCGACGGCATATAACAACAACAACAATATATATATATATATATAGGAGCTCTGCCTAAGGCATTTGACTGCTAACCAGAAGGCTGGCAGTTCAAACCCACCAGCCACTCCTCAGAAGGAAGACAAAGCAATCTACTTCCGTAGTGATACTGCCTCAGAAACCCAAGGAGGGATCGCTGTGAGTTGGGTCTGACTCGAGGGCACATAACAACAACAATATACACACACACACACAGAGACATATATATATAACTATTACTTTGTTTAAATAAAGAATAAATTACTTAAACATATTTGAAAAAAAATGAAGCAAATGTATATCTAATATAAAGGAACTCTTTATATTGTGTAGTGGTTAAGGCATTTGGCTGCTAACAAAAATGCCAATGGTTCCAACCTACTAGTCATTCCAT